ATTTGTATAATGAATCAATTGCCCGGTCCAGACAGCGTGACCCTTGGGGAAAATCGGCTGTCTTGATATGACGCCATAGCATACCTAGGACTGTGATACAACAGCTTAGATAATTTCGCAATAAATTACCATAGCTTCGCACGGGCACGCCCAGGTCACCAGATAATTCCCTGCTAAAACGTGCTTCAAGCAATCTAACAGGTGTCATGATTTTCAGGCTTTTCTTCAACAGGGAAAGTCCATGCGGCACAGACAATGCCACCAAGCACTGCCGTGCATGCTGTGGATATCTGCGGTGTGAGAAATTGCAAGCGACGCGCCAGATGTTCGTTTGTGGCATAAGTATTCTGCGCCACACAATTAATTGTTCCGCAAAAGTTGACAATTTTGCGAATTACTGATGCGTCACCCACGTTCAAGGCAGCTGATGACCAGCTTCGAATGCTCCTACATCGTTGCTCGACTGTGATGCTGTTGTAACTAGAACTGACTAAGCAACAACTGACTCCGGTTCCCTTGGGTGGATTGCCAGTTTTGTGATACGAATATCGATACCACGGCAACCATTGTCAACAACTTCAGTGCTGGGCTATTTGACCTTGGCGATGAGTCAGTCACGATCATGCATGGCTATTGCTGTGTTTAATTCTGTTGTTGCACTTTGGACTGCATGGATTGTTAATGCAAGAAAGTCAGGTCTCAGCCCATGTTGGGGAGCCTCCAGATACGTCCACTGCGCCCAATCTCATCCCTCAGCCGTCTGCGCATGATCCCAGGTGACCGCAGGCAAGGCAAAGTATGATGCAACCAAGAACGCAGTTGTCTGGAAGATCCGGCGGTTTTCTGGGCAATCCAGACACACCCTGCGAGCGGAGGTGGTGCTGGTGTCCACTCTGAAAGACAAGAAGACCTGGGCCAGGCCACCAATATTCTTGCAGTTCTTGGTGCCAATGTTCAGCGCCTCTGGCATGAGGGTGCAGCACCTGAAGATCGTGGAGCGGAAACGGGGCAGCCACTACGAAATGGACAAATGGGTGCCGAAAATCTGCAAGTTCGGGAAACTGTTGTTGGTGTTTTACATTGCCTTCCTCAACCGATTCATGAATCAACCAGCCAAGGCATCCATATACAGATCAATCATTCAACCGATTCAGTCGTCACCTTCATGACATCCACAGCTTCACTTACACTACCACATCATTGACTCAACCATGTGCATTTTCATTACGATGCCTCAATTCGTTCATCAAACAATCAATAAAACAAGCAATCGGTGCATTTGAACATCCAGCAACTCATGGCTGCTAGCATATCCTCATGCTCTGCCTACGCAGTACTGTAAAATATTCAACTCTTTCGCATCAGAAAACTTCACCGTTATGGTTTTCTCTCCTCATTTTGTTTTTCACAGTGTTTCTTTTTTTTTGTCGTTTTGCGTTCCCAACCACCGCGTCTTTCCGGGCGCGTGTTTCGTTCGTTCTGCCATCTGTTGCATTGGCTGCAATATGGTGAACCGATAATTTCATATTGTGTTCTGTGCAGGACTGTGCAAACAAAGAGCAGGCAACAGAAACAACATTCTGTTCTTCCACTTGCCGCCATTGTACCAATCTCCACTTTGCAAGCTACTTATTCCTCTCTTGTTCTCGCCTCCCTTCCTTCTCCTCTTTGCGCTGTTTTTCTCAGTCTCCTCATACTAACAGTTGTGCTCTCTGCGCGCTAAGGAAATGCAGTGGTCTTGAAGAGTAAACACAAACGCGGTAGTTACTGGCCAAGAAGGCCGGGCGCCAAATTTGGCGCCATATTTAATTACTCTCGCCTAATTGCTCACCCCATCCACCCAATTTCCACACCTCACACACGTGGCATGCGCACCACTTCATATCTCCGCACACACCACCAAATTGACTACAAACTCCCATATGCGAACACATTCTACACCACACTTTTCGGCTACTATCTGCACCGGCACAGCAACCCCACCACAACACAACCATGCGCATCCACCCCAACACCACCCCATACACGCACACCTAACACTACACAACACACAACCTGCACTCCCAACCCCAACCACACTTACGTCTTTTCACACCGATCAACACAACGCCACACAAACGCAATTTCACACTTCTGAGCCTCCAACATCAGCCCACTGGCACACTAACTGCCAAGGCGACGATCCGCACCATTTCCCTTGTCTCATCACCGCCCCACTGTGCTCACACCATGGGCGCCACCACCTGCAACGCTCACTGCTTATCGCACTCGCTTAAGCAAACACAGTGGAAGCCCATGTCGCTCACCAATCACCTGCAATGCCATCGCTTACGCTGCAAACCAACACACGTCTCGACCAACGATACCTGAATATCTTCTGCCTTACGATGGCTCTCATGCTCCACTACAACTACGACAGCAAGGCAACAAGGACGATCATGATGGCGATTTTCATCCCCTGCATGATGAACATGTCATGCCCACAATGACGCTCATGGCAATGCTGTTACTGCTATTGTGATAGCCATGACTCCCCCTGATGCAGCTGATGCTGCTCACGTTCCCGCCATCATAATGGTGGTGATAGGCATAGTGATGCGCACAGTGATGTTGATGGTGAGGCCATCAAAGACGGTCAACAACTCCTCAAACAGCTGACAGAATGGCATGCGCAAGTGATGGTGATCATGATGGCAATGGTGATGGTGATGCTGAAGATCACGGTGAAGGCAATGTTGATAGTGATGCTGATGGTGCTAATGACGCTCATGCTCATGGTCATTGTCATTATGCGTACCACGAGCACATTGGTGGCAGAACAATGAAGTTATAATAAACGTGGCGTGGCCAAACTTGGGCGTGGGCTACATGTCGATAGTCATGCAAATGGAATAAACAACAAACACCACGTGGAACACTTTCGGTCCGTTAAATACTTCAATTTTCGACACATTTTTGCCACATAAGGGATTATTGGACAGTTTTGCTTGGGAGTCCAACGCTCTAACACATTGCATCATTTGTAAAAGAATTGCACGTAACACTCTTGCATGCCACACAGCGATGTAGCGACACTGAGCTGGCCTCAAAAAACGGCTGCATGATGCCTGCCGCGCCTTCCGGCCACCCGCCGGGCTATTCACTAGAACCGCACTGCCCTGTGGCGGTTGGTGGGTTCTTACTTGTAACTAGAACTGACTAAGCATTATTACCAGGTGGACGCATAAAGAGATAATGAAGCATTAGGAACTGCATTTAGGACCTTGGTGGACGGACTGGATATAAGGGACAGCACTTCTGTTGTCCCTTTGCTCGACTGTAAACCGTTGCCGCGGACTAGAGCTTCAGGGGTCGCGTCAATGCCTGCCTTCGTCAATGCAACCGCATTTGCTTGCAGCGGATGAGTCTCTCAAGGTAACAACACAACATTCGAAGAAGCGCGTTGGAGTCTTCAGAACTGCAAGGGCAACACGAGCCAGAGGCAGCCACAGCGCAGCCCGTCCCCGCGCAGCTTAAAAGATCGAGCAGTCCCCGCCGTTCAATGGCCCGCCTCCCGCCACTTTGCTCAGGCCAGCGCAGTAACTGATGGCGTTGATTCCCGCGGAGAGAAAGGGGCCACCCGGAACGCGGGTTTCGCTGGTGAAGGGACGCTTGTGTGTGGGCCTGGTGGTGGGAGTCCTGGCGCTGGTGATGTGGCTGTCGGTCCCAGAACAGCAGGTGACAATCTGTGGCGCATGCTGCCCACAGGTGATTGCAGACATGGCGCGGAGTGGCGCAACAGCGAGAATCCGAGCAAACTAGGCGCCTCACCGCCCCGTTCGCGCACCTGCTCTCATCCTGTGGAAACTGCAGATCCCAAAAATGTTCTCAGGGGGGTTCGGACAAAGCTGACGTCGGAACGCCGCTTGGATTGTTGTTGCACTCTCCATCTTTTGGGGCTGCTTCGCTTGGTGTCACCTCCTCGGCGTGGCGTCGAGAAAACCAGGAGCGCAGAAAAAAAGGGGAGAAAATCGTGCGCCCTGACGGCGGACTATTGAGCACATGGCGTGGGAACTGTTGGCGGCTTATCGGAACTTGAGGCCACCAACACAAAGATGGAAAGAGTCCGTTCGGCAACTCGGACTGCCGGGGAAGTCGTTGCGGTGCTGATCGCCTTCTTTTGCAGCTGCCATCAGAAAGGTATCGCCGCCAGGAACATTCAATCCGTCTACCGGGAAAGGATCCGAGCGGCAAGGCGAGGATCGTCACACAAGGAGAGCCTCCTGCCAGACTCGCACCAGGAGGTGCCCACAGCTGAAGAGCATGTCGCGCCTAAGGTGTGTTTTTGCTGCAAGAGCTATCCGTCGTGGGCAATTCAGCTCAGCTCCTTGTTCACTGAGCCAGAACACAGTCAGCCAGCTAGGCACAGCTATCCCTGCCACTCGCAAGGTGAAGAAGAGCTGGCCAATTCGTCGGTTAGTCACACAACGCAGCTTGTCCTGCGATGGGCACACTGGCATGTGCGAAGGACTTGAATGCCTTTTTCTGTACTGAGAGGTGGGGAGGACATGATGTGCAATGGAAGGAGTAAGCAACGACTGGAGAGCCCGTCATATCCTTTGCGATGTTGCTGCCTTCGCTTACCATTGCCTCACACCCAGAGAAAGACATGGCGAATGGCAGTGAGCTTTACAACACTGTGCTGGTACAAGTTTCAAGGTGGAAAAGTTCCCACAGCTGAGTTGGTTGATGTTGTCTCCATACATGATGATGAAGGTGACTTGTTGCTTGCACAAGCTTGTGACATCACATTTGTTAGAGCGAGTTGAAGCGAGTAACTACCAGCGGAAGGCTTAATGGACAAGCAGCCACCAAGAGACTTGTGGATGCCCTAGTTATATGCGTCATGATTGGATTGGCACTGCGTCACAGTCAATCCCATTATTGTGGTGCCTTGTTGAGCACGCAAGGCACTGAGGACTCCTGTTGCTCCAGACGCTAAGCAGACTGAAGGTTGGGACATGGTGCAGGTGGCGCTCATCTTCCTGGCACAAGGCCCCATACACCTTGAGCCGATCTGGCGAGCTTTTCTGGAAGCAGCATCAAGAGTAGAGTTGAAAGTTGATTTGGAAGCCCCCCCAGCTATCAGTCTCAACGAACTTGTTGGTGGGGAGTTGAAACCTGCACTGGACGTGCTCCCAAGAGAAGAATACCCAGCATACATCATCCAGAAAAAGCGGAAAGAAGCTATGCATGCTGGCACGCATCGGTCCTTGCAACAGAGGAGGAGACTGCAGAGGCGAGGGCCACAGGGTCCTGGGCAAGTGGACATTGGCAAGAGTGAAGAGGACAGTCAAGAGTGCTGGGCCACCAATGCAACAGTGCTTGCTTCTGAAGTTGAAAGGCTGCTTTCAGGTGAGTCAAGAGGGGGAGGGAAGGGGAGGGGAAGGGGGTGCTTGTGATAACATGTCACTGGCAGGTGACTTAGGGACTGAGTAGTGCCAGTTGCACTGATGGCAATCTAATGGCATGTTTGAATGTGGGTCATATGAAGCAAGGGAGTACGCCCTGGAGAAACTTCCTCTTGCATGAACCCTTGGCCAATGGACAGGATGTTAGCCAGATTTCCATGCGATCAGTGCATGGTGTCCAAGATGCCCAAAGTATGTATGGTCAGCCTTCTCCTCGCATAGTGTGCCGCACACAACAAGACCTACTATGACAAAAGTAAAATACCAGCACTGGGCATGACTGGGTGTTTTGCAACCACAGTCATTGGTGTGCAGGGCTTGTCGTGGTTTGGGGACTGTGCTAGGTGTCAAGAAAATGGTGCTTAGTACTTTGGGACTACCATTTCAGTATAAACTTGGGGGATCAGCTGGGGGATGAGCAGAATCGCTTCATTACAACAGCACTATTGGTGCATTACATCACTGCTACAATACCACAAACCTACTCCACTGCACACAATGGTACACCACTGCACTGCTACACTGTGACTGAATGTGTAGCCTTTGTTTGCTGTCGCACTTATATCAACAATGGGAGCACAAGGAATGCAAATCACGTTCAATATCAAGCAGCATGATGTTTTGAGAGGCAATTTGCCTTTTTGGTGCAACAGAGCAGTGCACTCCATGGGCATGGCCCTCACTTTTTATCAGGGCCAACGGTAACAGCCCACAGTCCAGGAAGGACACATATTGTACAGGGATTGAAGCCACAATCATGACCACGATTACCTGTACGAATGCGTTAGCTGACAACTGAGCAGCACCAGGGCCAAACACAAATCAATTCCATCAATTCGCACAGATGCCCAGCTGCTCTCAAAGCCAAAACTTGATAATTCACTTGTCACACTTTCTGCAGAATACCACCTTGTCTGAGGATCTTTATACCACGTACAAGCTGATACAAACAATGTGTTTTGAGCTACCACTGTACATTTGCTTTTGTTGCTGTCCCCTTGTGTTGGCCAAAGCAATCATGGGGCCAGTATCAACACAACACTGCTCCTCATTGCTCATCTCAGCCTCGAGGCTGGGTTGGGACCGCCTGAGAGGGGGAGGGCCAGTGATGACCCATCCATGAAGAATGTCAACATGGTGGATTCATGTGGCCTTACCAAGGGCTACAGCATCAAATCAGGGCTTCTGGCTACAGCCTACCAGGATCAAGTGGCGTGCCGCTCTGTCCCACTGTCTGCAAAACGTGGGCTGCAGTGAGACCGACGTGTTTCACTTGCCATCTTTCACTGCACTTCCCTACGGTGAAAAAAGAACTGCCAGTCCTGATTGTGCGCAGCTCCAGGCATCATCAGGTGAAAGTGTAGTGATTTGTAGCATCCTTTTTACAATGAATTGTCAACCCTCCCAATAAAGCGCATTGGGCTGTCTTCACTTTGAGGCTGTAAGGGTACCACTGACTTGTGCTGTGTTGGTGTAAAGCGACGACTGGAGGTGAGGACGTCGCACAGAGACAGAAATTGTTCACGCTGTATGTCAATGCACCTGAGGGTCACCACTACCATGAAGGCAGTGTGTTTCACGGCAGGAAGATTCCTAACCCGGTGGACACCGAAGGGGCATACGCGGAGTTCATTCTTGTCGAGGCACAGCTGAGGCTGCTGGAAGAGGCGCTGCTGGACCCACTGAATGCAAAGTTTGTGATGCTGTCGGACTCGACCATCCCTGTGCACCGGCCAGAGATTGTGTACCTGCAGCTGATACACGAGGACAAGAGCCGCATCAATGCATGCCAGGCGAAAGATACCGAAAGATGGAGACTGAATCCGCAAAGGTAGTGGCCTGTGCTGTTTGCTTGTTGCAACAGGAACACACCGTTTGTGCAATAGGTTCGTCAGATTTTGGAGATTACGTAGATTTTGATGCCATTGCAAGCATCTGATTGTTGCATGGAATGAAGTCCGCTGGTGGAGCTGATCTGCTAGCCATGGATTGTCCAGAACGCCAGCAGCTGTGGTGTTTGTGCAGGGCAGCTGTACGTGGCCAAAGTAAAATGGCAGATGTGTGCACAAGCTGTTGGAATCCATGCATTCCCCCATCAGCACACAGCACTGGGGGTAATTAAAGCTCCAGACAACCAATGGTTGCCTCCCATTAGCAAGATTGGTTTAGAGCCAGAACACTCGCTGTACTGGGTGTGTGTGACAACAGGTGGGATGGGAAAATGAAGACCGACTACTTGAACATCTCGCATTGGCGGAAGAGCTCTTTCTGGAATGCTCTGAGGCGAGACCATGCAGAGCTTGCTCTGGCTGACAGGCACGTCAGCGAGCAGTTCAGGCGATATTGCTACTCCATGAATAGAGTCTTGCCAGGCTTCACAAATGACCTGAAGTCTAGGACGTGCATCGCTGATGAGCACTTCATACCAACCCTGCTGGCCTCGTATGGACTAGAACAACAGGTACGGTGTCTTCCCACCCGGATAGAAGCCGTATGTGTTCTGCTGGACCTGACTGGCACGATGCTGGGGAACTATCCCTGTCTTGGCGCTGCCACAATCTTTGCCCTGCAAGGATTTTGCCTCGAATGGACGTCCTTGCGCTTGATGGGTATCCATTTTGCAGTCAGATTTCATGTTCTTCCTGCACAGTAACGGCAAGACCGAAGGCAGCGAGTGCATTAAGAAAATCGCTCAACAGAGGTCGTCACGAGTAGAGGAAACGTGTAACCCAATGGACCCTTCACTTTAAATAGTATGAACGCCAAGGATTAAAGACAAAAGAGAAAAGGAAATACACGAGTCATGCATAGGACACACTGCTCCTAGCCAAAGTTCCGGAAACTATTTCCAGGTTGTAAGTGATGTCCAGGAGTCTCCCAGTGCCTAGGGAAAGGACGCAGCAGTAGGTGGTGCGAACCACAAGTCCTCAGCGCGCTTGCTTGGGTAGGTGTGCATGGCAGACCTCAGGGGCGAACGTATTTCATGGAAGGTGAAGATTTCCTACATGTGGTGTTGCGACGAAAATGTGCATACCACCGTCCGTGCTGTAACCGCAATGCATGAGCCAACAGAATGAATCATGGCCATGTCCAGGGCCGCCCATGTGTCATCCCACTACCCCTGCAATCTCGCATGTTTCATGCAGAATGAGATGTCTGCCCTATCAATCTGGGAAATCGCTATTCCGCCCAATTCAAATGGGCTTCTGGTCTGCGTCTAAAAACTTGATATCCATATAGCGGGGCAATCGCAGGGGGCAGAAAAAGAGGCGTTACATAATGCCTCTTCATGCTACTGTAGTATTTGCTAGCATCGGCAAATGTATTTGCCTGTGGAGTGATCTGGGACCGTTTGACTCCCACTCTCAGAGGTGTATCTTCTTCGGGCGTTGTTAAACAATCAGTGGGGGGGCACATGCGACGATGCAATCAACGGCCATATATGAAATGCGGCAAGCCCTGATAGCAGCGATTGCGGGTTGGCGCATGTTTTGTTGGCGCTAGTTGGGCGTTCTTCCCAAGCGTTCGCCGTGCAGCGATGGGTTGATAGGAATGTCTGTTTACCAGAGTATGCTGTGCAGACAGACTGCATTGGCCGTCCGACCTGGGTTGAGTGGAAGACGAGGAGCTACCATCCGAAGAGCTTTCAAGCAGCAGAAATTGACGTAGAACTTGTGCAAAGGTGCGTCGTGGTGCTCGTTTGCCGTCTTGTTGCGTGCTGGCTGACACCGAGCCGTGTTGCACTCTGCATATCCACCCACTCGTTGATGGAGTCCAGATGCATCCTCCCATTGTCTTTATAATGAGAGTTCCTTACCTCATGTTTGGCCAATGGGCAGTACCCAGTGTGCTGTGTTGCGAATGGCAGCCAGACAGTCCTGGGAATGGACATTTACGAATGCAAGCGGCTCTGGTGGACCTTTGGGCAACACAGTCAGGACAAATTTCGAACGAGCTTTCGTATGTGCAGGCTGCATGCGTGCCATGACCAAATGTCGTATATTCAGATGGCAGCCCCAACAATAGTCAGAGGCGATGC